CAGAAAGGTTTTACATTTTCAAATGGTTGGAAAAAAAATTTCATGACATGTGAAAGTGAAATAAAATTCAAATTTTAATATCCCTAAAGTTGTACTGGAACATAGCTATGCCTATTTATGTCTTCTATGGCTGCTTTAACATTGGAGAGGTAACTTGTGACAGATCATAAGGCCTGCCAAGCCTATGATATTTACTGTCTGGCTCTTTCTAGAAAAAAACTTGCTGACCCTTGCTTTAGACCAAGTGGTCAAGGAGGGTGTCCTTCAGGAGGTGACTTTTAAGGTGAGATCTGAGTAATGAGAAGGAGGAAGGTTAGGAGTAGCAGCGCCATGTGGTCCGAGGAGAGAGGAGAGAAGTGCTATAGTCCTAGTTTTAGTCCTGTAACAGCCTTCCTTCCAAAGAATGGCTCTTGTTGAAAAAGGTAATGGGCCTACTGGAGTTGGGAGCAGGACTTCCTGGCACCAGAGCTGGCTGTGCCCTGTGCCAGCTCCTTTCTAGCCTGGGCTGGTAGAACCTGGAACTGAACGCTGAATGGCTTTATTTGCTTTCCTGGGGCAATGCCCTGGGATTTGAGATGTATTCTCAGGAACAGGTGAGAAGAGCGTGAGGCCTGTGCACTGGGCCTGAGACCTGGTGTTTAGCAACCTCACAGTTGACAACAGGCCCATGAGAGGGCAAGGCCAGGAGCCCCATGACTCTCAAAAAGCCTTGAGAGCAGGATCTATGGCAAAGGCAATGGGTGGGTAGAGGGGGCAGCCAGGTGGTCAGTGAAGTCCAGCCAGATGGGCTTTCTGGGATTAGAAAAGTGACAGCCTCAAACCTTTGGTTAACAAGTGTAGAGTGAGTGCAGCTCCCAGGCCTTTGTGGGTCAGTTCATTCCCCCCGGGTTCTGGGCTGAGGGATGAAAGCAAGCTGCTGGTCCCATTTTAGAGTCAGAAAAAGGAAGGCAGGGAGCAACAGCACACTGGTTACAAACACAGACTGGGAGCTAGCAGATGGCATAGCAGTTATGTTGCTGCAACCCCATGTGGCCGACAGTGTATTCAAGTCCCGGACCTGGTGGCTTAAAACTCACCAGGCACATGTACATGTGTGCCCAAGTTCCCGGGAGGAGAATGGAGAAGGGATTGTGGTGCGGCCATCCCCCTGGGGGATAATTCCTTACTTTTCCTCTCACTGTCTCTGTCTCTCTCCAATGAGTGCATGTGTCCCAAGGCAAAAACATCTAGGAAAAAAATAAAAAAGAAAAACCTAATGCCTAAGTCCCAGCCTCCCTGTTAGCAGCTGTGTGATGGGCTTGCAGATAATGGTACTATCTGTCCCAGAGATATGTAAGAAATTAGGC